AACCAGTAGACCCTTGGAATCTCCATTTTAGGGAGAGGTGTGGTTGAATGTAATTTGTAGGTTATGTCGAAGTCTCTGAGCGTCGCAGCAAAAGAGAGAGAGAGAGAGAGAGAGAGAGAGAGAGAGAGAGAGAGAGAGAGAGAGAGAGAGAGAGAGAGGGAGAGGGAGGGAGGGAGGGAGAGACGGAGGGAAAGAGAGAGAGAGAGAGTGAGAGAGAGAGAGCCACATCGCTACGGGGCTGTCGCCGGTGATCCCCGTGGAAAAATCAACAGTTCTGACAGATCACTCACGAAAAAACAAAAACAGTTAGTCTGTTCCGTTTGGGTCCTTGAATGCATGTCCAACAGAGGAGGAAAGCAAAGTAGAATATTCTGAATCAGTGCCAACACCAACCGGATTCTATTTCGCGATCTTTTGTCTATTCTCCAGAAGCTAGCACTGCTAGGTCCCCCAGCTAGGTGCCCTTTCTCTCCCCTTTTTTGGGGGGTTCCCCTACTAAAACAAGACTACAGACAAAAACATGGGTACCAACTTCCTCCAACCTCTCAAATCTGGAGGACCTAGACAAGAAGAACCTCCCAGTTTGCCTTTTCGGGACCCACTGCTTCAAGGGCGGGTGTCCAACCCCAGGAAATAGTTTAGTCTCTGACCTTTGAGTGGCCAGGGGCTGAGGTACCCTTCGACCCCTCCGCTTCCGGCTCGCTGTCTCCAATCCGCCAGGGCGAATTGGGCCGTGCGATGCGGCAAAAGCATCGAAAGTCAGCCGTGCGGGGCAGACCGGGGTCATGGCCTTTTTTGTTGGGAAACATGAGTTACATGTTTTTGCACAGATGGCGGTGTAGTGGTGAAACATGCTACATTTGTTGGCACTTATGGTGGTTTAGTGGTTGAAATCCAGCCACTTAAACTGCTAAAATTTAAAGTTTTGCTCCCCTTCCAACGTCAATTGGTTGGGTTTCCGAGCCATTTCCCTTCTTGGACACCAGCCAAAGCGATCGTTTCAAGAGGAAGCCAGCGGTCAATAGATCAACTTTTGATTCGGGGAAATTCAGGGAAACCTGGTGCGGTGCAGAGCTTCTTGTTCTGTGCCTTGCTTTTGACGCATTTGGTCAATATGTTGCTCCCTTCACCAAGCATCACCTTCCATTTGTGGGAATGAACATGTTTGTTATGTTCCCCTGTTGGTTTTAAAGGGGTGATGTCACTACCGGAAGTATGTCTCATTTCTGTCAGGGACCTTCAACAAATGGAGGTCCACTTGTAGCTCAAGGTCGCAACAAGTCGGCATAAATGTGCGGACATGCCGTGGGCTGGTTCGGTTCCTTTTTAGCAGGCTGCAAAAAACAGCCAGTTTCCAAGAAAGGGGTACTTGGGTCTCCGATCTCAAGATAGAACGTTGTAGCGGAAGCCACTAGTCCTACTTCTGAGCCCGTGAATCTGGGGTCAACCTTATTTGTGGCTTATAGTTCCCCCAAGTGGCGATCACATGAACACCAGCTTGGCGAATCGATCCAAGAACCAACCTCAAAAGCGACGCTCCTGCCTGCTGGCCTCAGCTGATCCGGGGGGAAGTCTCGGCGCCGCCGCGTCGCGGAGTCGCGCGCGCCAAGAGACATGGAGGCCCGAGTGCTCGAGTCCCCGCTGGAAGTCGCGGGGTCTCTCTCAGAAGAACTAGGCTTTCCAGCAGTGCCCTTTTATTAACTTTTTTTGGGGGGAGGGTTCCCCTAAAATAGACTACAGAAAAAAGTTGGTACCCTTATTCTAACCTCTCTACTGGAGGACCTAGATAAAGGGAATCCTTCTGCACGGGAAACAGAAAGGATGCCTGAAAAAGTCGGTTCCTGTTGACCCCCCTTTTTTGGATGATGAAAGGAGACCAAGAGCACACCAACTGAGCCACCCATGTGGGTGTGGGTGTGTGTGTGTCTTTTTCTGGACATCCCAACATGGCGGCTGAATGTTTTTTTTTCGGATCTCCGTGAAAGCCACCCAGGGCTGACCCTAAGACACCTGCGGACGCCTGGAGAAACTGTCCAGGGACCCGTCGAGCTGGCCCTTTTCGAGCAGGCACGTGCCGACCTCGATAGTCGCCGGTTGTCCGGTTGGGGCTTGCTGGCCAGGTCTTTTGGGGTTTTTAGTCAGATTGGAGTTTGCTGGGCAGAATCCATCTGTGCTGGTTTTGTTCTTTGACTCACATTCAGCCTCCCTGTGAGCGGAGGTTTCTCTTAGAAAAAAAAGCGCTGTTTCTGCGCATTGTTTTGGGGACTTCCATCTGAGAATCTGAGCTCAGCTTCGCTGGAGGACTCAAGAGCGAAAGAGACTCTCCTAGAACCAGCCTGTGTCCGACGCAAGGAACGCAGAGAAATATCATCCAACGTGCCCAAGAAAACTGAGATTGCGTCTATCATTGGCAATGGGCTGTCAAATGACCAGAACTGGGGTCTTCCCCCAACAAAGCAGCTGTATATTTAGGGCAGACATATGGAAAAGTGGAACAGAGGTGAATTCAAAATTGTGACATCTTCGGTCGGCGGGCCAAAGAAAAGAAAAAGAAGCCTCCGAATTGGTTGCAACCCATGCGGCTTCAGAGCCTTTGAATCGGTTTCTCTTCTGCTTGCAACCGAGGAAATCACCCGGCTGCCACGACGTTTGGGTGGGTCTTTTGCCTTCAGGGTGGGGCTGTTTGGAGGAGCTCAGGTGTCCTTTTGATCAGTTAGGTTGATCACAAATGGATGGGTTCCACTGGTTTTGGAATTTCGTCAGGGCCATCTAATTGTCCAAAAGAATACCTCTGCCCAGGAGAGATTAAACATAGACTGGTTTAGATGGGACTTAGGAACCATGTACCAAAAAAACGCATCGATTTGTCCAAAAGAATACCTCTGCCCAGGAGACGCTTCTAAACATGCTGGTGTATAGATCTGTCTTTGCGGCGAGTGCCTGTGTGCGAATGCGTGTTGCTCTCCAGGACAAGGAGAACTTGCAGCCAAAGCGCTCTGGACGCTGCGCTCGGGTGCTTCAGGAAGTGGAGGCCTCAGGAAAAACGTGTCGAGCACTCATCTAGGTCCCCTAGCGAGTCGTGCCCTGAAAGCTACTGTAACTTTTTTGGTTGGGAGGGGGAACCCCCTACTGAAATAGACTATAAAAACGGGGTACCCTGATTCTAACCTCTCTACTGGAGGAGCTAGTCTTGGGAAAAGTCTCATGGGCCCTTGTGAAGGGACTTACAAAATGCGTCCCGCTTGCATCCCGTTTGACCTCGATCGAACCATTGCACATTTGGCCTGAGACAAGTGTCACAGTAATCCAACCCTCAGCTACGCGCCATGTTCAAATGTGTGCCCTGTGCGCTTCGGCATCATCTCGGTGACCGGCTTGAATCTAGTAGCGGTAAAACGAGTTCTTTGTGTGCATAGGTGTCCTTTTTGGTTGTTTTGCTAGAAAAATAGATGGCGATTCCTGGTTTGCCCGGTGGTTTAACCATCTACCAGGGAAATCCATCTATTTCCCCTAGAAGGACACCTATCTTTGTGTCAGTCTTCGCCCAAGCTGAATGACTGGCATTCCTGTCCATTGGTCAGGCTCTGGATGGCGCCTTTTTACTGAGGGCCTGGTTGCGTGTGTCTCGTTCAAGTGTCCTGGACAAGAACTGGGAACCATGACCTCATGCAATGCATGGATGCCTGTGGGTGGACGAAATCTGGCACCACCTAAGAAACCATGGGAAACCATTGTTCGTTGGTATTTACAGGGGAATGATCATTCCAGGGGTTCTTATGTGGTGAAATGGATTTCGTCCAGCCACAGTACGTGACCTCAATCATGACAGTCTTCGAGCAGCCAATGATGCTGGGAAGAACCAAAGTGGCGTGTCCAGCAAGGCGCGTCTGCGCACCAAAATATTTCCGGGCAGGCCACACTGAAAGGGTAAGCATCTTGTCCCAAAGCAAGCTGTATGTCCATGAGATAATCAGAAGCACGAAAATTAGACTCGGCCTCTTTCCCCACACGCTACTCGCCCTCCATGTTTGAAAACTATTCCCTGCCTGGTGCGCCTGAAGCAATGAACATCGGCCAATGTGGGCGGCAAGGCAGAGTTCAGACATTTGATTTGTTTGGTCAAAAGCAAGTTCAAACCGATCTTGGCTCATCCGCTCAAGAAAGGGTACTCTCTAATGGATCGTCAAGTACTTCTGGCATGGCTCTTCTCAATGCAGCAGTTGGAAACTGGGTTTACCGGCCAAACCGACACAGTCCGTTGCCTCCGTTTGCTTCAGAATATTGTATATTTTCCCTTGTTGGTTTTAAAGGGAATCTATGGCTTCTGGTTTGTTTCCTCAGTGGGCTTAAACAAATGGAAGTTGGTGTTTTCACCACGTGGACCGGCCAACCCAAACCAAGTGGTTCATTGTCAAACTGCAACCGAAGAGTTTGGAACCCACGCGAGGTTGTCGGGTCGCTGGGAAGGGCCAGGGCAAGCGTGAAAGCTTGACTTGGGTCTGTCCATTTTGAGTTGGTACCCCTTCGCCAGTAGTGCCCTTTTACCGTTTCTTTTTTTGGGGAGGGTTCCCCAACTAAAATAGACTACAGAAAAAGGGTACCCTTATTCTAACCTCTCTACTGGAGGACCTAGGCTGTGCTTTGAAAGAGACACCAAAGGGCAAGCCGTTGCGCCACTTTGGGGGAGTCTGATTCCTTGAAAGACGCGTCACCCACGTGTTCGCCAGCCCTCGATTCGGAACATCGCTGGATTCGGCTCACAGCTCGGTATGCCCAACAGCCCGGAGTTTACCGAACGGCCGCTCAGACTGCAACGCCAACTTTGGGGAAGGAGCCCTCCGCAAGTCTGCAAGTGGAAACCTGCCCCCCCGCCCTCACCTGAACCCCCCGCCCCAAAAAAAAGGGGGAAACATGGCGTTTTGAAGTGTGTCCTCCTAAACAGTATTTCTTTCAGCAGCTTGCAAATGTGGTCCTCAGTTTTCGGACGCATCTATATTGCG